TACCCAGTCACATACACAATATAGTGCATATCTTAATAACTGTGATTATCTGTGTGCTGAGCAGACACTTCACATGTACCAAGTATCCTCAACTAAGACATGCTGCTTTTCACTCTATGTCTCCAGCTTCTGTTCATTTATTTTACTGGTGTTGCAGATAATAACACACATATGATCAGGATGTTGACAACAGGCCTTTCAAGTTTGCTTTTAATATTAATAAAATATCATTGTTCTACCATCTGACTTGATTTTTTGGCTGTAGAGCAGTATGATTTTCTGCTAAAATCAACTCTTCCATTTAACCTATAATGTTAAATTACCCTACTTTTGCAACATCAAACTTAACACACAGCAGTCATAAAGTGTGATGTACAAACCTAGCTAATCACTGGAGAAGTTTTGGGATGCCCAATGGTAAGTTCATAAAACTGTAACTAACACATAGTAACAACAGACACATAACATCAGGGCTGCAGCAAATAATTTTTGTTACTGATTATTATTTTTCTGACTATTTTAATTGACTGGTAACTCTACAAAATGTTAGATATCAAGGATAAGTGCCCATTACAATCCACTAAAGCCCAAAGTTTACAACTTTAAATGACTTGTTCTTTTCTGACCAAGAGTCAGAGAGTCAAGCTCTTCAGTTTACAATGATATGAAAGAGAAAAGCAGCAAATCAATGCATCTGAAAAGCTGAAACCAGAGAATGGTTTTGCTTGAAAATGACTTAGGCCTTAAAGATTTATCAATTATCGTAAGAGTTGCAAATTAATTTTCTGTTAATTGCGAAATCTAAAATCGACAAATAGTTTCAACTCTACTTTATAAACCAAAACCATAAGTGTGAAAACAGATCTGGCAAACTATACTAGGCTCAGGTAATGAGCCACATATTGGATTTTTTTTGATTGGATCTTTAATTTAGTTATCATCCAGTATCTTACTCTAATCTTGAATTTACAGTGCATACTAAAAGTGCCATTACTGTTTAATTTCAAACGAATCTAAGATTAATGCCACAAAATAAAGTCCAAATCTGTATCAATTTGACAACATCTAATCTTTCAGAGTTTCATTTGGGCTATATGTTGCTACATTTGATTGAACTTTTCCCAATACAAGACTTTGTGGTATTGGCAATGTAAAAATACCATTTCAGGTGTTCCTACCATGAATAAACAGACTGTAGCGTATTGTCTGACTGGAAGTATTTGAACAAACATAATATTGTAAATTACTAAGTCACAGGATGTAACACTGCTGAGAACACAAATGAATATGACTACTAATGTATTCAATAAAAATTAATAATTAAAACACTTGGAAATGTCAACAAAACCTCTCCGGATATTATCAAAGATGTAAATACATTTTAGCAAGGTCAAAGTCTGATAAACCTTACTGACACTGCAATCACATTATTTAGCATTCTCTTTTAAGTGTGTGCCTGTAAGATACGTGTAATTTTTTTGTCACACTGTTTCACCAGTACAGGTACAGCACTAATAGGAGCCTATTTACTTACTTACTTTACTTATTTACTTCTAGATTTCAAGTTCAGAGGTTAATTTTGGTATTTTTCAACATGGACAATGTTCTCCCATATTTGTGTCTAAGTGACCAGTGGGGACAACAATTTTTGAAACTGGTCCAGTATTGAGTGAGAAAGCAGCGGCAAAACAGGCTGCAATGTAAACAATGGGACAATTGCACACACTCAATGTATGTCCAATTAAAGTGTTTGTTTTTGTCACTGACAGACTGTATTATTATACATGTCTAACAACATTACAGAAAGGATCCTAACAAAGATAGACTTTTGTGTTAAAGAGTATGATCCTTTTTGTTTGATGCGAATCAGCCCTGAAATTGCCATTGCCAAACCCACCAGACTCCATTTAAACAAACAGTGGTTTTAGCATTTATAGAGCCAGCATATTTTCACACCTTAACTGGGTAAGTTAAGGGTTTATTTCAACCAAGCCAAAGTTGGTGATTGTAGGAACAGTGGAAAGACAAACCAAGATGGCTTTTGTGAGTTTTGTTTTGTTTTTGTGGACTTTGAATTAAGTGTTTTTACTAATGATAAAATTTGTTTGTTTAAATGGAGTCCGGTAGCTTTGACAATGGCAATTTTGCAACCCAGTCTCATTCCAAAGTTGTCGAATGCCAGTGCTTGGGTAGTGACTTCCGGCGTCAGACATCAATGAAAAAGCTATCATTTGCTGTTACTGTTTAATGGCACCCGGCAGCATTGGGGGGAAACATGGCGGGATGATGACGTAAGTTATGGAGGTGAAAGTCCAAGAAGGGAGGGCGGGAGTAGTGGTGGATGGGTTCAACACCTACCGACTTTCACCCAGGAGGCTGGTGTTCACTCCCCGTAAAACTGTAAAGCCATAACCTGTTCTTTTTTCCTAAACCCAACCATGTGCGTGTGTCGGCTTAACACAACCAAGTGCGTTTGCTGTTGAAGGAAACAAACTTCTATTTGCAGTGTTGTACCAATGTAGTGTGTACAGATTGAAAGATGCTGTATGCAAACTGTACATTTCCTGTGAAAACAGAGGTGTATTAACTCGGCTTCTTCTCCAGAGCCTTTGTGCTCCACTATCTCTCAGATTAACTCATATCACAGTGGTGCCTGGATAGTGTGACGTGTGTGGTTGTGGTGCTGCCGTGGTCCTGCCAGATGCCTCCTGCTGCTGCTGTTATCATTAGTCATACTTCTACTGTTATTATACACATATGATTATTGTCACACATGTATACTATCAGATATTAATATATACTTTCAACATATTGTACCGCAGTAACCAGAACTATAATTATAATATTATTACTTTCATTAATGTTGTTGTAAGCTACTGTCATTGCCGTCTGTCCTGCATCTCTCTCTGTCTCTGTCTCTCTCTCTGTCTCTCTCTCTTTCTGTCTCATTGTGTCATACGGATTACTGTTAATTTATTATGCTGATCTGTTCTGTGCGACATCTATTGCACGTCTGTCCGTCTGTCCGACAGACATAATTGAGTGACGGACCGAGTCCCGTAAATCTCCGCTTTCACTTTGTGCAGCGCATTCTCACATTTTGACAACATGGCAAGTGAGCCTGACAAACCTGAAGACCCACCCACAAACAGTCCTCTGTTTGGGAACACTTTGCTTTCAGGGTAAAATACGAAGATGGAAATAAACAAGTGGACAAGACAAAAGCAGTGTGTCGACACTGCAGAACAGTGGTCGGGTATGTACTTGGAAACACGTCTAACATGCTAACGCATCTAAAGCGACACCACCCGAGTTTGAACGTTAACTGGCACGACTAGAAAAAGCAATCTGGTGCAAACTACGATATCGTCGTCGTTTAAAAAGAAAGAGAGTTTCCCTGACCATGGCACTAAAGAAATAACCAATGCCATTGGAGTTGAGTAAAATTGTTTAAGCTGCACTTTAGATATAAGCATGTTTTGTTTACTGCACTTTAACAAAGTGGGAAAGCTAAGTAAGTTCCTAGTAAAACTGAATCTGAGCAGGCTTTAGAGCTGACCAGCTGCACTATACTTTTTATTTTAATTGAGTAAAACTGTTAAAGCAGAAATGTATATTTATATTTTTCATTCAAAAAATGTGTTAAAAAAACAGCAGGATTTTATTTTTCACTTTTATATTTCTATTTTCATTCAAACAATGTGAAAAAGCAGGATTTTATATATATTTGTTTCATTGAAAAATTGTGTAAAAAGAGTTAACTGCTGTGGTGGTATGTTTTAATAAGGTTACCAATAAGTAAAAGATATTTAATAGTTGTCTATTTTTTTCATTACTGTACCGAAAAAAAAAGAACCGTGACTTGTGTACCGAGGTATGTACCGAACCGAGATTTTTGTGTACCGTTACACCCCTACTTAGAATAATAATCTCGGCCTGTCAGTGGACATAAATGACCATGCACCATTGCCCCATGTGGTAACATTGCAGCCTGTTTTGTTGCAAAATACCAAAGTTACCCTTTAAGTAAGAAAGCTGAGTGTCAAATAATCAAACACATAATTGACTGAACACACTTCAATTATTATACAGCACACACCTAACATCAGTAATTCTGTTACAGCAGAGCATCAAAAGATGATACAGTTTGCTGAACAAAACAGATAACCTACACATTTCAACATTGCACATTTCTACAATAATGTTATGGGTTTATGCAAACTTCGCTGAACTAAGTGCCGAATACACTTAAATCTCATATTCTCAGTATGTCCTTGTCATCAGCAGCTTGACATCTGACTGAGCTGATAATCATGTTTTTCTTAATAATAGCATCAATATATTTGTGACTTAAACCTCCCAAATGCAAAGTTCCATTAGCAGAAATTGAGTCCCATTGATTCATTAAAACTCAGGAGCCCACCTGAGCTTTACTGAGGTACAGGACAAAATTCTGTGTGGATGGGACCTGCAGTCTGTCAGGGGAGCAAAGCATGATAGGACAAAAACAGCAAACATGAGAATGCTTTCCTGATGTGAACTGACCTTCTATGTGTTTCTAACAGACACCCTTTGTAAATAGATGGAAATATAAGGAATCTGCATTCTTTGTATGTTTGGCCTTCACAGCTGCAAAGGTTCAAGTGTCCTCTAGATTCACTGTAACCTCCACAACTGAGCAAGTCAGTTCAGGTGGTCTAATTTCTGTGCAGAGAGACCAAAGAACGACAGGGATCATACCACCTGTGAACCGTAACATTACAGACACCATAGCAATAACCTTGAGAATGTAATTCAGGATGTCCCCGTGCAAAGTGATGAAATGAAAGCTGAGCGATGACATCTCTCCCACTTTCACCTATTCAATTTTACTGACACCACACCCACTGTTACCCAGTCATGTTCTCTCCTTGTACCTTCCTCCCCGACTCACCTGCTCTGCCTTTCTGACCTCCCCATCCATCCCTCCCTCCCTTCCTCCATCATCATGCTCCACTCACCTGTTCTATCTTGGCCAGCCATTCTTTATTGCGGGCCAGTTCCGCCATAAAGGCCTGATGCTTCAGCCACTTCCTGTGTAGCTTTTGAGCCTCATCCCGCGCCGTGTCTCGGGCCATAAGCATCTTCTCTTCCACCCGCTGTCCCAATCACTCAGCTAGGGGAGACAAAAATAGCCACCATCAGGAGCTCAACACACGAGCCAGCCCTTCTTTCCCCCTTTCCCACAGGACGTCCTGCCTGCCTCCTCTACGCAAGAGCCAACCGCTCTGCTCTGCTCTGCAGGGGCCTAGGTACCTGTACTGTCACCACCCACCCCAACCCCCACCAGACTCCCTTTTCTGGAGAAAAAAAAAACAAGATAAGCACCTCAGCAGCAGTGGTAGCAATGGAAGTACTCAAGCCCTTCCTTTGAGTCGCCCCTGGGTCCTCATGCCCTACTGCCTCATGGGTCTTGCGGTCCTGATGCTGCAGTGCCTGCTAGCCAGTCTCAGAGAAGGCAAAAACAACCAGCCAAATAGAGGAAATGCGCCAATGACAACACTGGTAAAGAATGACACACACACATTCAAGATTCCTTTTGGGTTGTGGGTTATCTTCAAGCTCCAAATGTCGATTACAATCCAGCTATCAGTGAAGATGTAGATGTAGCATAGCCACAGAGGAATCTTTCAGCCGGGGCAAACCTGACCATCCACCACTCGCTAGTCCCAGTCAATCTGTAGTCCAGTCTAATGATGCTGTATACAGGAGGAGGAGGAAGAGTTGAAGTGGGAGGAGCAGGGTGAATGGGATGCAGAGGCAGTGCAGAGGAGGCCGGATAACATAAGCTATCCGCTCTTTAAATGCATCGTTCCCACCACTGCAAAGATGCATACATAGTCTGGTGTGAGATAGCACACTATATTCTCTCCTCAGTTCCCCTTCCTCATGTCCCCGAACAGCTCAGCCGCGATTGGTGCATGCTGCTGCAGTCCTTGCCTCTCAGCTACGCTCCCGTGTGTGTGTGTGTGTGTGTGCGTGTGTGTGCTTGCTGGAGTGTGTGTGTGTGTGTGTGTGTGTGTGTGTGCAATCACAATCAGCACTGCAGTGCCGGAGCAGAGAGAGGGAGGGAGAGAGAGAGAGAGAGAGAGAGAGAGAGAGAGAGAGAGAGAGAGAGAGAGAGAGAGAGCAAGAAGGAGGGGAGAGAGGAGGAGGGAGAAAGCAAAAGGAGAGGGGGAGAGGGAGACAGGGAGAGGAATCGGAGAAAGGGGGAGCACACAGCAAAAAAAGAAGGGGAGAGCAAGTCAAAAGAGGGAAAAGATGGTGTTGTGAGGGGGTAGTGAAACAGAGAAAGGAAGAGAGAGCCTGCGTCATCCCTCAGTGTCACCAGGGACATTTCTCTGCACTAGAAATGACTGCACTCAGAGCAGGAGCAGGATTTGGGAAGGGGGGGGGGGTTTGTTTTAAAACAGCTGAATGAGAGTGAAGAGGGATGTGTGCACACATGGTCCACAGTGCAGCTGACTGATTCAGATCACTGTTAACACTCCCTCTGTAAAGAGACCTGCATGTGCTTCTCCTGCTGCAAATATGTCATTTGCGTTGAAAGCATGCACATATTTCACTGTGTGAATTGGCTGACACTGCTCCCCAAGATCTGAATTATAGATAAACAAGACAATTTTGTTTTCAAAAAATGGTTCTGTTTAGCTCAAATTTTTAGTCTGTGGATGTGCTGCAGCTTTGAATTATTTTTCTTAATTTATATACTGTTCTTTAAAAATACCAGTTCTCATCGCAGCATCCAGAGGTGACTACCAATGGCAGATTGGTCATCGGGACGTGCGGGACGTGCGGGACGAATCCTGATGGGCCGGTCACCAAGTGGGCTGGTGTGGGCCGGTGGGGCTGGCCTGGTGATCAAAGAAAGAAAGAAAGAAAAAAAGACTAGTGAATGAATGTCAAGCTAGTTGCTAGCTGTCAGTACTGCAAAGTGCGTCCCTCCCATGTTGTTTGTTTGCTGTGAGATGTTCAGAGGGAACGTAGGTGGCAATCTTAAGTTTTGCGGCCTCTTTCAATACAAAAGAGGCCCTCGTTTTTCTTGAAATCTGACTGTTAGTTAGTGCTAGCTACTGAGAAGGGAGAAAGACAGAAAACATGGATAAAGCCCACCAGTAAAAAAAGGGTGGTGTGGAAAAAACTTGAATAAAAAAACTTAAATCTTTACAAGAAGTGTAGCAAAGTGCTCCAAAATAACTGACCTGTTTGGCCGCAGCGTTGGTCGATGGGCTGAGGCTGCTGGTGTTGCTAACAACGGAGATGGAGCTGGAGCCGGAGCCGACATTGCCATAGCTGGTGCATTAACCATTAGTCTCGCTGGGCCGACTCTCACTTTGAGATTGGAGAAAAAAACGCCCCGGCTGCTTGTACTTCTTTCAACCAATCACAATTGTTCTGGGCGGTGCCACAGCAACAGTACGCTTGCAAAAATATTGCCGGGGGGAAACAGGTTTTGGTGTAACGCCCACAAAAATATCACCTACAGGACGCGAACCATGGCAGAAAAATGGCTACATCCCCGCAAGATCAAACACCGCAAAAGTTAGTAAAGGACGTGTTGAAAACGGTTGAAAACTGCTACACAACCGGAGGTGGTAGGGCGGGACTTCAGTGGGTGGCTCGTTCCGCCCAATGAGAGGCTGATGAGAGGCTGAACTTCCGCCCACTCAGACTAATTAACCATAGGCATTTCTAGCCCATTTTTGGGGGTGCTGAAGCACCCTAAATTGAATCCCAGCACCCCTAAAATTTGAGAGATTTTTTTAAATTTTGTTTTTTACTGTATGTCCTTTAGAAAAGTGTCAAAACCATACAGTACTTGGTTGAAACGTAATATTTTAACAACAAAAATACAGCAGCAGCACCCCCCAGGTGGTCAGTACCACTGTCCTCTGTTTGAATTGGAATGAGAGAAGCTAGCTGTTGTGTCATGTGCATGTGTTAATATTAAAGCCAAGGTGCTACTGACTAGCTAACTGACTGGATGCCCATTAACATTATAACTCCTATTGTGTGTATTTATTATGATTTTTTTGTAGATTTCAAGCACTTTTATTTTTTTGAAGTGTATTTTTATTTATGTATTTGTATTATATAATACAGACAAGAAGGAAAAAGGCAGAGACAAACATTGAAAAAGTCAATTACTGTTAATGTGTTAATGTTACATGTTGTGCATTGCATTTCAAATAAAAGTCCAAAAAATAAGTCCAAGGTCCATTTTTGGTATTTTTGGTACTCAGTATAGGGGGCTGGTTTACTCCAGAAACATTCACACTGTTTATGTGTATGTTGAGGAGCTGCTGTATCAAAATGAGTTATCTTCCCCCAGAAATTAGGGTTACGATATGTTTCTTTTATGATTCCAATCCATTCCTCTTTTGCTGTGGCTCAGCATTTAAATAACCTTTATCAGATTTGATGGTTTAGTCACAGACTTTCCCAAAAAGTATTGTGCTTTTCTTTCACAAACGTGGGAATGAAATTGAGTTAAAATCTACAAAACAGTGAAATTTATCTGGCCGGGCAGCTCTCTGGGTGCTCAGCACCCCTAAACCTCTGATCCTAGAATCATCCCTGGCATTAACATTAGCTTAACGTTCGTGTTCGAGTGTGTAATGTGCAAGGTTGGCTTTGGCAAATTGAGTATTTCTTGTAGTTATCCGGTTCAAGAGGCCAACTACCCTAATAGGTATTACATTAAGTCATTATAATTTAAACCTGTACTAAAAGAAATATGTACTTACTTTTTTCCTGTGGATGCATGCAATTACGTTAGGTGGTGCTCCCAGTCCCAAGGACAATGAAGCTGAGGGACAGACTAACCCCAGTCATGATGAGGAGGAGCATGAGACCAGAAATATGACAGGTGCAATGTGAAGGCATAGCCTACTATGCATTACATTATAGCCAGAGGAAACCCTTTTAGTAGTATTAACTGGGATTTTTTTGTTGTAGTAATAAGTTGACTAAAAGTTGACTATAGGGCCTATTGCCCAATTTATACCTCCTTAGTTCATGGCTGTGAGCCATGGAGATATAAATTGGGCTTATGTAATACAAGAGCATGGCTGGGCAGGGCAGGGCAGACAATTATATTGTGCATAAAATTAGATGCATTAGGAAAGAGTCATATGCTCTTATTTTAAGTTAAATAATAAGCACATAGCCATTTGTGGCCAATTCATTATTGCATTTATTTTATAGTCTGGAATTAAACAATAACTGCTGATTTTACTGTTACTGATGTCTTTGTATAATAATTAGTCAGTGCATTTGTGTAGTGTGTACAAGCATATAGAGGATTATAGGTAGAAACGTTTGGGCCGGTGTGTAGGCCAGTGTGTGGGCCGGTGCGCCTGAATGTCCTGGGCTGAATTTGTGTCCCAGTCCACCCCTGGTGACTACAATTTCATGAGCACAGAGTGAAGTGGAGCAAGTTTTATTGATCAAGCTGGTTGTGTAGTTTCTATTAGTATGGTTCAGAATACAATAGATTGTCTGCAGATTCTCTATATCTTTGATTTCTAGCAGGAGAAATAAATCAGACCTCATCAGACCCAATACATTGTAAATATTTACTAATAATAATGATAATACTATTACTACTACTACTAATAATAATAATGATGATGATAATCATTTTTGGCTAAAGCGCAAAAAAGTTAGCATTATGGAGAAATCCAATATTCCTCTTAACACCTCCCCAATTTCTGATTAGGTGGACAAGATAACCCTTAATACACATAATGTTATTCATCCCTACAACAGTAAATACTTTTCCCCCAACCTGATATGAAGTGTGCGCTGCACATGAGAGCATTTTTGATGATCGCCTCCATCCAGTCCTTTTGTCTTATTGCATTTAACCATAGTTGTCTTCATTTTTGTTAACAGGTGTTTTACACACATGGTTCAACAATGTTATGACACCTATCCTATCCTTTTTGCATTTTCCTGCCTGAGTAGTTGATTTGAATGAAACTTTAAGGGTATGTTTTAGTAGCCTGGTAATACCGTCAGGGGAAGATGTCAAAAATGTGTTTTTAAAAGAATTTTAAGTGGTGGAAAATTTACCCAGACCAACTTTCTTCTTCTTCTTCTTCTTCTTCTTGAGGCTTTTTTGTTGTGCATATTAATATTCAAGATATCAACAAGCTTTTTGTAACTTTTGATAAGCTTGATGTCGAAAATGTGCTTTTTTTTTTAATGATTCTTAGTGGATTGGTGGCACCCACTGTTAGGTGATATCAAAATACACACGTTTCAACATTGTTATGAAACATACCCTGCGAGTTTCGCAATGATTGGAGAAACAACTTCTGTTTCATAGTGTGGTTTGTATTATGTCACAGCCCTTTTTCCATTTGTAGCAGTGGTTGATTTGAATAAAACTTTCTGTGTATGTTTCAGGTACTGGTGTACACATATCCCTTAAGTTTTGTGATGATTGGCCCAATGGTTATGCAGAAAGGTCCATTTATGTGCTGAGCCAGAGCCCCTTCTAAAGTTCACGTCAATATCCTTAGAATGCAGTAAGATTTCAACAAGCTTTTGATAACTTTTGATAAGGTTGGTCTGGTAAAGGTCCACAGAAAATTTTGGACAAATCGGACCTATGGTTTAGGAGGAGATGTCAAAAATGTAGTTTTCAAAAAATTTAAATCCAGTCAGGTGGTCCTTTATGGTCCCTGAGGCTTTTTTGTAGAGCACATTGAGCTGGACTTGTATCTCAAATTTCAAGTAAATCAGTCTAAAGGTGTGAGAGGTGTGGCCTTAACGATATTTAAAGCCTCAGTGTGTAAAAATGGTGAGTAGCAGTGACATCAGTGGTCAAATTCTAGATTGCAGCGCTCACTCGCGCTCACTCACTCACCCCTCCCATCGGGTAAGTGACGGTGGCCTCGTAGGACAAAAAGCCTTGCACAGACAGCAAAGTTTTTTGAGTTTTTCAGGAGTATCTAGCAACGAGGTGAATAT